ATAGATAATTTTTAAGTGGATATTGTTTTAATTTTTTTTTTTATATATATATATATAATCGTAAAAAAAACAACCGTGATTTTTTTTGATTCATTATTCTTTTTGTAGCTTTAATACGCAAAATCAGTCTGCCAATGATCCTCTTACCGCCTAGAGGTACAACATCGATCGATTTCAATTAATTTAAGTTAATTCTTCTTTTTGTTTTTTTTTTTTTTTCTGGAAACTATTTTCATTTCTTATTTTCTTCAATTACTTTATTAATTAATTGCATTCGCTTTGTTTTCTTACATTAACTATGCAATTTAACATATGTATAAACTTCTCCTTTGTTGACTTGCATTTAATTTTGTTGGTGTTCGGTTGGAGACAACAAATTCATGTTTCAATAGAGTTAAGACGTTCAAGTATTGTTTTTTTAGTGCTCTTCTTCTTTTCATTTTTTTTTTTTCTAAGTAACTAAACAAAAAATCTGTAAAAAAAACAGGCGCCTTTTCCATATAACTAACAGCAAAATCGTATATACATATATATTTACAATGTTGTTACTCATTTGAGTTGAGTAAAGTTTTGTGTATTTTTATCGTTAGATAAATAGTTTCGTTTGATTTACGCAACAGAAGGACATTTGAGCCATATTTTTCTCTTTTTTATAGGGCTTACTACGTTAACAATACGTTAAGTGGCAGAAGTATGAATACAAAAAAATTAACTAATACTTAGGGAGCCTTCAAATGATGCATAGTTTAACGAAGTAAAAGTGAAGTGCAAAATTTGATACATTTGATACTAGGCTCGCAGGCATTTTAAGAAGTTGAAGGCACAGATCAAATGTTCTCGGTTTGTCGCAATTTAATTGAATTAATAATTTTTCAAACATTAAAGGTGAAGTTTTTGTTCTTTCTAAATCATTCCGATACGTTGCATATATAGCAATTTTGATGTTAGTAAGGAGTGAATTATCTTTTAAGAATAAATAAACCTCATTGGAGCTCTTACTCTTACAAGTATATTAAAAGCGATTTCACATTTCATCGTTTATTGTGCTTCTGTTTATTTATTCTGTTTTCTTCTTTTTTTTTTTTTTTTTTTAAGAAAGCCGGTGGAAGCAACAGTTTTTACAATCTTGCTGTCTATATATGTGCATAATATAATTTGTTGTATAATTTGACTAAACTAATTCTTGTTTCAGTTATATCACTAGTTTACTTTCTACATATATATATATATATTATCTTAATGTTTACATATGTGTATACGTATACATATATGTATATATATACATATATTATATGTATACATAATATGTATACATAATGTATATATATATACATATATATTATATATATACATATATATATATATTAAGATTTATCTTTATATGCCACAATATCTGCCTCGTGGATTTGTTTTCTGAAAATGTGCAATGTTTGAAGATCATCCAATACATCCACCTACTGAAACAAGCAATCCTTGGGATATTGAATTTCCATCCGACACTAACTACATCATAAAGACGGTTAATGGTGTCTTTAATATTTTTCAAAGTGAGGTAATTTATTAACTTTAATTAATTTCTTTCAAAAAAAAAAAAAGAAAAAAAAAAAAAATTGAAAATTGAAAATAAAAATGTTTCTCTTATTTATTATTGAATAACGTAGGATGCAAAAGAACCATTACTTCCGAATTATCCAAAGTTGAAGGATTTTTGTAATGATATGCAAATAATGTGCACCATGATTGCTGATGGACCATTGTAATTGCGTTTTAATATTTATCGTTAATGCATTTTTTACATGAAATTTTCTTTATTTCTTTTTTATATAGAAAGTCATTCTGCTATAGACGTTTATGCTACCTATCGTCAAAATTTCAATTACACGTTTTACTCAATGAATTAAGAGAATTGGCGTCTCAGAAGGCCGTGCCTCATCGCGATTTCTATAACATTAGGTTTGTGTATATATATATATATATATATGTCACGAATGACATTCTTTTTCTTATATATGTACATTGTATGTACCCTTAGGAAGGTTGATACTCATATACATGCGGCTTCGTGTATGAATCAGAAGCATTTGTTACGTTTTATTAAGAAGACTTTGAAGAACTATGCCAATGAGGTTGTTACAGTAACAAAAGGTCAACAAATGACATTGTGCGAGGTGTTCAGATCTATGAATTTAACTACTTATGATTTGACGGTGGACATGTTAGATGTGCATGCCGATCGCAACACGTTTCATCGTTTTGATAAATTCAATGCCAAATATAATCCAATTGGCGAATCACGATTACGTGAAGTTTTCTTAAAGACAGACAACTATTCAAATGGAAAATACTTTGCTCAAATTATCAAGGTAGATAATATTATTATTATTATCTTACTATGCTATATATCGTATATTTTTATATATATATATAGGAAGTGGCCTTCGACTTGGAAGAATCGAAATATCAAAACGCCGAATTGCGTTTATCAATTTATGGTAAATCGCGAGATGAATGGAAAAAATTGGCCAAATGGGCTATCGATTACAATGTTTATTCCACTAATATTCGCTGGCTGATTCAAATTCCCAGACTTTTGTAAGAAATTTCTCTGCCATTTATTTTAAAATTTTTTTCTTCTTTTGTTTTTTTATACAAAATTTTTTACTTTATAGTGATATATTCAAATCGAATAAATTGTTAAATTCATTCCAAGATATATTGGATAACATATTTCTACCGTTGTTTGAGGCAACTAGCAATCCTAGTAAACATCCTGAATTGCATCGATTCTTGCATTATGTTATTGGCTTCGATTCGGTGGATGATGAATCAAAACCGGAAAATCCATTGTTTGACGGTGATATTATCACTCCAGAAAATTGGACCGATGATGAAAATCCACCATATGCATACTATATTTACTATATGTACGCTAATATGACGGTCCTAAATCAATTTCGCAAGTACCTATCCATGTTTTAAGATTCGTTTAGCTATCAATATTGATAATAATAATTTCTTCATAAAGACAACGCGGTTTAAATACATTTGTTTTACGTCCTCATTGCGGTGAAGCAGGACCGGTACAGCATCTAGTGTGCGGTTATTTAATGGCTGAAAATATATCGCACGGTCTGTTATTACGCAAAGTACCCGTGCTTCAGTATCTCTATTATTTGGCACAAATCGGTATTGCCATGTCTCCGCTCTCCAATAACTCGTTGTTCCTTAATTATCATCGGAATCCATTGCCCGAATATTTAGCCAGAGGTCTTATCGTATCATTATCGACAGACGATCCGCTACAATTTCACTTTACTAAAGAGCCGCTAATGGAAGAATATAGTATTGCTGCTCAAGTATGGAAATTGAGTTCATGCGATATGTGCGAATTGGCGCGAAATAGTGTTTTAATGAGCGGTTTTCCACACATGGTATATATATATTGCATTTTAATTTTAATTTTCTTTAAATGCCTTAATATACTAAATACATATACATCCATACAAACATTTTTAGATGAAACAACACTGGTTAGGGCCGAATTATACGCGTGAAGGCGTTGCCGGCAATGATATAACACGTACTAATGTGCCTGATATTCGAGTAGCGTATCGTTCGGAAACATTGCTCGATGAGCTTTCCAACATTTTCAAAGTTCATCAGCATCCTCACGCCATTGCGGAGAGTCCTTAAGTTAAGAAATTACAAAGGATCGAAAATTCTTACGTATTTCATATAATTTTGTATAGCAAAAAAAAAAAAAAAAAATAAATAAATAAAATAAAAACGTCTATATATTCATATAAGCCTGAATTAATTAATGTATAACCTTATAACAAATTACGAATGAATTTATAAAATGTGTACGTATTTTTGTATGTGTTAACTAAAATCAATAAACATAAATAAAGAAGAAGAACAACATTTAAGTATTTGAAATTCTTTTGTCATTTTTTTCATTCTTTATTTAATATTTTTCTTTAAAACTTACACATACATATACTTAAGATGAAAAACATTAATTGTTTAACTGAGAAGTTAAGGGAAGCAAATTAGAATGGTGAGTTCATGCCCAATTTCGTACCGAAATCCAAGCGAGCTCGCCGTTGATATCGGGAATTGACCCTTAAATGTATATAATAATAAAATATTTCTTACGTTATCTATCTGAAAAATATCATGCTTACTTACTTGATCTCCTGCCATTTGCAGATTTCTGAAACTAAAAGACTTATTAATGAACTGCTGTACAAAAAGACTGCGGCTGGCCAAACATGAAAAACATGATGAAAGACATTGTCGTTTAGAAAAATTTGTGATGTGCAGATTAGGCCGTGCAATAGTAATATACAGAAACAAGTAAAGGACCAAATATGATTGCGCAATGGACTCTTCCGCCATAGAGAATGGTCACGATGTACAAAAGAGGCTGACACAATTACTGATGAATGAAAAAGTTAAAAATTTAAAGATTTACTAAAATTAAGAAAATTGCATTTAAAAAAAAAAAAAAAAAAGAAGAAAATTGTACCTACCGAAATGTACCAATACTCCGGGCAAGCAAAATATTCGAGCGATTTGTACCTTTAAAAGAGTATTTTCCTCACTTGAATTCATTTTCCCAATAGGATGCGATATAAAAGCGCAATAGCCCAATATCTAAATTAAATCATTTGCATAAATTTAGAAAAAATATTGAAATTCAATTGCCTACCGTCAATAATACTGGGGTCATAAATTTACAGCCATAACACCATAGAACAAATCCAAAAACACGAGAATCATATTTTGTTTGCTTTTTGCCGGTAGCTCTGTTCATTATTTTTGGATCCATATCGATATGCGCTAATGCTAACGATATGAGAGGAACCGGTATGCACATAAGATAAAGTACCATAACTGGTGACAATACAGGAGGTAACGACAAACATGTGCTCAACACATTAACGGAAGCTAAAGACCCGGCACAACTGGCCCAAAATTGTATACAATTCCAAAGACCCGATGAAAATCGTCTAGATAATTCTATAATGGCAACCAAAGACAGGGAATCTTCACGCTTTACAGATATTGAGCATGGCAGTGAGTTTAATTGGCGACTTAAGTAAATAGGTGAAACCGTATTGCCTGATGATTGTATAGGCTGCACCTCGACGGTGTTACCATACAAACCAGATTCTAAAAGTTCTTCAACTGCTAAAGCATCTGGATGCAACTCAGTTGCAGTCCCGTTCCGTTTTCTTAATAACTTCAAGCGATTATTAAATATATTAGCTTCCGAAAAAGCTTCAATATCTTGACAGACTTGGGGATACAGTGGTTCTACGGCTATGCTGCAATCAGACTGAAGAAATATCTCTGCATTCGAGTTGCTTGCTGAGGATCCTAGGCAAACCACTATTTCTCCATACGACTGCATAATCTCTAACATTTGCCTTGTAGCTTCAGCTGAACAATCGGTAAATAAAGAGACCTGCAAAGGAACATTATCGACCTTTTCTAAATGTGGTCGTATATTCTCGATACCCCGCGGCAATTTAGCTCTATTAGACATATCAAAATGAACTGGTGCACTTTGTTCGGTAGTATCTGTCAGGATGCTTACAGAGCGACCATTTTCATCTAAAGCAGAATCCTGCGAATTTCGTCGTCGTCGATTACATTTTTCGGCATCATTTCGAAATTGTATGGATTCTGATAAACTAGAATTGGAAACAATTTCGTTTTTATCGGTGATATAAAAGGTATTACTGCCGTGATTCGAAATGGCTCCAGGAGCTGAAGAGCTTAGCGCTTTTGAAGTTTCCAGATTGGTCGGTGGAAGTAGAAAATTTAAATCTGACGACTCGTCACTATCAGCGATGTTTCCTAAAATGCAATTGTTTGCAATTATATTGACTCGAGAACGGAGATCATTGCTTGATGTAAATATGGCTGATGTTGGTGGTGGCGACATGATTGTACTAGTGATGGACGTCTGTGGTGGGTAATGAGTGATTGTGGTAGTGGTGATAGTTGTTGTAGTAGTGGTTGTGCTTGAACTGATATTATCATGAGAATTTCGTATGGTGGTAGGTATGTTTGTAGAATTGTTTGTAAAACCTCGTTTACCCGTTGGTTTGGGCGACTGAGACTTTAGATTGGACTTGTCATCGAATTTGCTAAGTAGTGAGATGTGACAATTCCAGCCTGATTCCAAACCCATTTTCTCAGAAAAAACGCGTGAACGCAATTCGTTTTCTTTGCTGAAGTGAACAAACCGTATACAGGCCCGCTCCAGATGTTCCACTAATTGTACTATATCTGTCTGAGCCTGATACTGCATTGTCACCATACCAATGAAAACCTGATGGCACTGCATTTCGTAACATCCTTCTACATCCGAAATATCTTCTTCTTTACCATCCGAGAAAAGTAATGAATCTGTGCTAATGCTGTGACTAAGTTTGGCATGGCTACAGTCAAAGTCGCAATGTATTTTATCCATATTTTGTAAACGTAATTTCGACTCGGGAGGCAATTCCATATAAGCAACATTGCCTTTGTTATTTGGCACGCCTCCCAATATGCCGTTAATGCTATGTCTCAACGGCCTATATGCAAACGCAGTACAATAAGCGGTTAGAGCGCTGCGTTGATAAAAATCCAACGCCCTTTTGCGATCCTGCTGAGATAATGGACGTAGATCTTTGCCGTCCCAGAAATCGTCGCAACAATCCAATATAATATCGGCCGTTCCCTGAGTAAATAACGATAAATAGCCGCCAGGATTCTCGCGCATTATCACCGATAATGAATGTGGAAATGGAACTTTGACTTTAGACGATAACTGAAGTTGCCTCGCAAAGCGGATGTCACGTCGCACCACGTCAGGTTGCTGTAATCGATGGAACCATGATATGAAAAAATGAATTCTTTCGATATTTTTCGATTACCAAATGCCTATACGTGGCCAGTTGTCCTTCCAAAGTAAATCTATCCGTGGCGTGATCAGTAAAACCGATTTGCTTTGCTAATTCACATAAGCAGCGTCTGCAGGAAAAAATAGATTCGAAATTAATTATTTTGAAAAAATAAATGCTATAGTTTATGATGGAAAATTTCGCAAAAAATGCATTACTAAAAAACTTATAGATGAATAAATGATAAACATTGTTTCCCCTTCACCTGCTGTACTAACATATCAATATAATTTCCACTGGCTGAATATATAAACTATTGAAGCCCATGTATATCCATTTAGGTAAAATCCACACTACTCAAACGGTCCTAATTTGTGATTTTATATAAAATATTATTGCTTTAGGTAGCCATATTCTTATCCACGTCAGATTGTCTACAATGCTGGTAAACCGTGTAACTACTTCTATTATTTCAATCGCAAATTCGTGTAATCGCATGTTATTATATAGATATCACAAACTACGTAAAATTATAAAAAAAAAAAAACATATAATAATTGAAAATAAGTACAATTTACTTTGTTCGAATAACTTTTGTAGCAATTGAACGAAGGCGGAGAGATTCATAAGAGATGCAAGTGAATTACATACCCATGCAAGAAATTTTTCATAGTGGACTCTACAATCGCATACCGATTTGTGACGGGCACTAAGTCCTTGTCCATCGTGGCCACAGCAGTAACATGTCCGCAGAATTTCGCATAATGAGCATGAGTTAGAGGTGAACAGGTATTCAATAAGATAGCCAAGCCTATAATTGGTTTAGAAAAGCCGTTCACAATATTAGGCCCATAATAAAATGCAAACATTAGTTTACCGAGGGGCTTTAAAGATTTAATATGGTTTTTCCATTCGTGATCATCAAACTCTAAGCGAAAGGGGCAGTGTTGATCATGCGTCAAATCTAATACTTCGGCCACTATGCCATTCTCTCTTTGTGTTGCAGGATCCGGTAAATCGCTCTCGGTGTTTACCGAAGTTTGAACACTTTTTTCCTCCATATCGTCGTCTTCTACGTCGTGAAGGAAAAATACCTTTTCTGCTGTGGGATTTGGCCATGATAGAATACCTTTTTTATCAACGCAGCAAAGTGCAGTAATGGATCCTAATACTTGAACAACATTCGCTGATCTAGGCAGCAGCTCGCTGTCGCCTTGCCACAATTTTACCCAGTATTGAAATACCTTCGAACGATGCAAAGAAATATTTTCGTAATCAAAAGTTGGCGTATCAAGGTCTTCTTCAAATGATTTATTCGGATCTTTTGTCAGTAGAAGTTGGGGCGTTTTTAGGAAACATTGCAACCTGGCAATACCCCATAAATTCATCGATATCCACATTAACGGAAAAATTAAAGGGAGCAACGGTATAACGGCGGCAACAGATGATTCTATAAGAGTGTATTTCCAAGTTGGTTGTAAATCGACCCAAGCCAAACAAAAATCGTGCATCCTCAAAATACCAGCAAATATAGTGACGACCAATGTGAACGCAAATCCCCACTGCTGTATATATTTTGTGACCAGCTAATGAATAGAAAATTTTTTTCATTTATATAGTTATTCAAATCACGATTTTTCAACATATTTATAATTACTAAATATCTTTGCTGATTGTAGATAGTTGGTGGTCGTTTATGCGAATTCTCAAGTATCAGCTTCAGATTATCTAAATAAGGTGTATTCTCTAAGCAGCATATTAAATCTGGCAGAAGAGTTCTTACGGTTGGCTTTAAAGGTGGTTCAACATTATTGGACACACCATAAATTTCATGAGCTTTAAATATTCTTTTGCCATTGATTTCTGCACAAGGACCAGGCGTTATATGTCCTGGTCTTATTACTATATAATCTCCTTTTACTAGTAAGGCCCACGGTAGATTCACAATCACGCCGTCTCTGTACGTCCACTGCAAAGAAACACAGGGTGATAATGGACAACACAAATGAGGATAATTACAGGGCTGCCATTCTGCGCTCAGCTCCTGTTCAGCTAAGCGTAAATCATTCAATGCCAACCGAGTTTTCCGATAGATTTCGGTACGTCGCAAATAATTTTCACGTATTACGACAAATAGATTCAATGTTAATATAACGGCTAAGCATAATGCCGCTAGATATGATTGTGCAAGAAGCAACGCCGCAGTCGCTAGAAGTGTTGTCCCAATGGAAAGCCAACCCAATGGGCTTTCATACCGTTTTACGAATGCCATACGTATCTTATTATAACAGCTTAAATAAAGTCAAACAGAAAAACAAACATTCTTTAAAGTAGTACATACAATAATTATGCCTATACTACCTTTCTTCCGCGTATTTTTGCTCATAGTTAAGCAATATTTTTTCTATTTCTTCATATAAGCGACCCAGGGCTACTCGCGTACTTAAACCATACGTATCTTTCAAAGGTGATTTGTCATCATTATTTATTCCGTTTCCTTGTTGTTCTTCGAACTTCGGTAAGGATTCCATTGATTTTACAAATGACTTGTTTACGTGTATTTAATAGAACATTGTCTTCAATTGTAGCTTTACTTGTATCAATTTCATTTGCATAAGAAATCGTTGTTTCTTCTTCTTTGCAATCACTTTTTAATAATAATATATGGCATCAATCTAACAAGCGTACACAAGATAAAAAGTATAGAAAATATACACAAATTGAAAATCCAATTTCGTTGTCAAAACACAAACAGCTGTTTCAAAAAAAATAAATAAATAAAAAGGAAGTGATGGAAGCCATGGTTGCCACTCGTAACAAACATTTACATTTTCTAAATTTTTTGTTTATGCAAATGTTCAATGTGGATGCATATGTGCATATGTGTGGGAGAGAAAAAAAAAAAGAAAACATTTCATGTACCGCTCATTAGCTATTATTCGCAGAAAAATGCACACAATCTATTAGATTCGTGCATATGAGTTATATATTTTTAAAGGAGATTAAAATGTATATAATAATTTACAGAAATCTTAATTAATCTGATACGAACGAGCTGATACGAACAATAATAAATAATTTCACGTAAATTACTAAACGCAATGCAAATGTAATGCAATGAACTCTGATTGTAGTTTTGAAAAATAATAATAATAATGATAACTAAATAAAAATAAATGAGAAAAAAGGCAAATAAACAAACAAAAACACTCTCTATATGTGTTTATTGCGTGTTTAAATTTGAGCTAGATTTAATACCAGCAAGTAGATTTACATAATCACAAATACTACTTATGAAAAGAAAATACAAAATTCGAAAAATTATTTTAGAATTATCATGGGTAAAACTTCTCAGCCGTTGAGGAAATCAATAATTAAATTTTGAAAAAAGTAAAAGAAAAAAGGGAAACAAATCATAAATCCTTTGTATTGGGAAAATCCTTTTATACTTTGTTTGCACTTATATGTAACCGTTCTGTTCTTTTGTGAAACATAAAGAGAGTATGATGAAACGTAATCATATCAACGTTTTTGCGCTCATTTATTTATTTGCCTGCATGTTGCTATCGTACGCACAATCGCGTCCTGTATACGTTATCCTGTGCATTGAGGGTGTGACCGGGTTAATGGAAAAATTTTCATACTTAAGTTGTTACTGAAAATGTAAAGTCCTTTATATATTCAAAGCGCAGCTAAACGATAAATTTTATAAAGAAAAATTCAAATTTCATTTTAATTAATAGAAAGCTTTTAGTATGATTTTCCAAACGTTAAAGTGTTATTAATATAAAAAAAAAAAGTAATAATAATGCAGCTTCTCTATAAAATTAGTTAACATTGTATAAAAAATATTGGTTCCATTAAAAAGAAAAAAAAAAAATTAAAAAAATAAAAAAAAAAAAGTAAAAAAAAAATTAAATATGTATATAAAAGTAGATATGGAAAATTCTCATATCATGTGGACATTTTATGAATCTTAAAGTTTCAAATGTTTAAATGTTGGTGAAAAAAGTGATTGTGAACGTTTTGCTTTTAAATTACAATATATATCTGATATGCAAATGATAAAGATATGTATGTGTATATATCGGTGATTAAATATCATTAAATAATTAACGATTTCATATTAATTGAATTACATTATAAGTGATTGCATGCATGTAAGAAGAATGATTTTATGCAAACATGTTCAGTACAAGATCTAAAGCAAACAAAGATATCTCAGTAAATAAAAGAAAACCTAAAGGAAAAAATAAAAAAAAAAAAAAAATCATGTCACTCCCCTGTCTGAGATGAACATATATACATATTTATATACATAAGTAATTTTATGCTTTCTTCTTGCATGTTACGACTAAAAGTTTTTATATGCTCTCAATTCCAACCAACCCTTCAACCACCCTCCACTGTAAAATAATAATATTCCCAATGCAAACTATAAATAAAAAAATTTAATAATGACATTAATAACGGTTTTATATTAAACACACACCTACGTTTATTTATAAGAGCTATACGGCAGTTTTTACAGGACTACATATGTTCATACGGAACAACTATAGGCCATTTTTTGCAAAGCTTTTCCAATTTTTCGGTTTCCATTGGCGTTGTTCCAGTTTGGGAGCCTTTTGGGAGGCTGCTTTCTTTTTTGTCTTAAACTTTTCATTTTCACGGTCGTTAGATTAATTTCAAAAGCTAACCGATTCCGTTAACAATATGCAAAAATCTGAAAACTTACAATCTATGCTTTCTTCTTACACCAGGCGAAGGCTCATTTTGTTTTGTATCATTAGTGTTCTGGGCAGTGGATTTTTAACGTTTTCCTAACACAAATTTGAAAAATGTGCAGTTTAAAAAAAAAAAAAAAAAATAGAAAGGGCCTGGGGAGAGAAATAAACATGCAGAGAGAGAGAGAGAAAGAGAGAAAGAGAGAGAGCGCGAGAGAGAGAAAGAAAGAAAGAAGAGTCAAACCTTTGATAGGGAAAGAAAAGCAAGAAGACGTTAAAAAGTAGTAACCTTACTTAAACTTATTGTGTAATTATGCAAAAAATACGATCGTTTCATAATATTATTCAAAACAATAACTGACTTTATTAAAATAATTCTTCTCTTTTTTCGCCAACAAATTTTTTCTATTTATTAAATTTACCAACAAAGGAAGGACGAAGGCATATCTTAGAATTTCGCGACAAAAACCGCTAGTAGCATTCTAAATTTATGTGAAGACTTTAGATCGGATGGGGTAATTTTTTGAACCTCTTGCCATGTAAACGCTCCCACAGAAACTGAATCTGGACATGGTAAAAACGACTAATTTTCAATACTTCGTGATGAATGTTCATTCATAGTAACAACTTGACATAAAAATGAAACCTACTGGGTTCGGACCACGTAAGTCCATTGTTTGGATACCCAGCCATATAAAGGTTTTAATCAAAAATAGGGTTTCACATGTTAAAAAGGTCTACTTTTTAATATTTTATGATAAAAATTTGTTCTTAGTAAATCAGCAATAAGAAATATGGATTACATAGATCTATGTTTTAGATCGCATCATATATGGGGCTTTTATGAAAGCAAACCCTTCTACGGCGAAAAGGTGTAATTTTTGGTTCGTTATGACGAAAGCAATTGGAAAATAATAAATCTTTGGAAAGCGAATTAAATTTGCTACATTTAGATAGCATGGACATTTGAGTATACTCTCATATGAGAGCTTTCGTGAAAACTATATATTTACATAAAAATAATATAAAGTTTATAGTGTATTATTAAGAAAGTAAGGGAACGACTGTATCAATGGTCTAGGATATGTAACCCAATGCGCTTTGCGCAAGTATGGCATTCTTACTTGTTTATTAATTATTTTTCTTATGAACAATTAAAGATAGTCTTTGGGGGCGAAACTTAAAGCATATGTATCAGTTTTCAGTTTTCTGTGCTAACTTTGTCGTCTCTGATAGTGCGAGTCAAACAAACCAAAGTTGTTGTCGACGGCCAATGCCAGGCGCCGTATACTCATATCAATATATTATTATAGAATATTGCAGATTCCCACGAATAATTGAGCACACTTGTTCATATGTATCAGTCTATCTGTTGAAATGAAATTTGTTTAAAAACAGACTATCTTAAATTCTACTTTTGTCCCTTAGATTTAGTTCAAAGGGTAATTATTTGCGTCTATAATATTGCGAAATTTTGTTTGTCATAAAATTTCTGTAGTAATTTTACGTAAATGAATTTTAAACTCACATAGGTTGTGTTATACATATGTGAGCAAACGTTCCGCTTTAGTTATATAAATATATCTATAACATAAAGAAAAATATAATCGAGATCTATAACTTGTGCAACTGTATGTACTTGTTTAAAGTGAACAACTGAATTAGCTTACCCATGTTCGTTTTTTGCGTCCGTCATTTAAAACTTTAAAATTTACCAAAATGTTGAATGTGATAATACATTCACACTAATTCGCTCTCTATTTGAATACAATTTCCGAAATTTTAAAAACGCCTAACCCTATAGTGTTGCTTGTGTCATAATTTATTCTATTACATTATTACAAACACCTTTCGGGTATTTTATATTAACTATGTTACTCTTAAGGCATGTAATATTAAACATTCGTATGCATGTAATCGAATATGTTATGTTGCCACAATATCATATAAATGAAAGATTTTTTATGGATAGGCACACCTTAGTAGCTAAGCACATTACTCAGTGCATTTGTTAAACAGTCAGTCCAAGCCGAGTATATATACCTTCTGCATTATTTTCATTCAATGATGCTTTACTTCCTTGGTTAACACTTCGTTAATAGTTTTACTGTTAGAAAATATTCATAAAAAATCGTTCAGATTGGACCGTATTTACGACAGTACGATATATGAAAAAAGTTCAAATTTTTAATATTTCTCGACATAAATGAATGAGTAGTATTTCGGTTATGTGAACGAGATAGGCCCTTGTTTTAATCCCTGCACTGTACAGTAAAACCAATTCGACATTTATCTGGTTCAAGATTTTTCATTTTCATAGTCTGTTAAGCGCCAGTGAATATTTTACCTTGATTGCAAAACTTTCTTTCTAGTCGTGACCAACCATTTTCAACAGCGCTCGTTCTTGACTCAAAACACATCAGTCTACCGAATTTCATCAAAATATTTAAAAAATGACAAGCTTCAAGTTAAGCGCAGACGGACAGACAAGCTTAGGAATATGATAAAAAGTGTTGTATACATCCGCACAAACATACCCTTGTAGTACAAGTGGTCAATTTTTGCAAATTTTTAAGCTAAACCATAAACAAAAAATGTAGTTTTTTTTTTTCCTAACAATTATTTTATAAGCCAGTCACTCCGTCCTACAATTTCAATAACTTCTTGTTCTCTTTTGTGCTATGGTCAGCATTTCAGGGCGCGAGTCAGAACGAACTATGTAACTGTAGCTAAAAATATAATATGGACTTTCACGCCAAGTCCAGAAGTAGCCTCTCCATTGGTTGATTTCATGTTTTCATCAACCTTACGATAATCCGATCGTAAGTTGAAGGTACGCAATTGCACAAGTGTTGTCCAAATGAAGAAATAGATGAAAAATTCTTATAGAGAAAATTTGAATCTTAAAAATGCGTCTTTTAATAATAACAATTTTGCTCATCTGAACTTGGTATTAAAGTAACGAATCTGCACTTTTTCCAGAAGCGAATGGTTTATGGCAACACTCACTAACTTACTTAGGCAATAGAGGGGCTATAAAAAATATATGGACTATCGTTAATGCGGGTGATTATGTTCGTCATTTACATCGTCATTAATGGGCAATGAATTTCCTTTCGATGCTCTACAGTATAACAAACATGTCTGTCAAACGAGCAATTGAACAGAAAGTTAGAAGTAAGTTCAGATTCCTTTGCTTTGCATTCGCCCATTGTCCCGTTAACCCAAACTTTTTAGTCAAATCGGATTCAAAGTTCTCTCATTTCAAAAAACCTATAAAATTTGAAGTCTTCAACGCTGAACACAATAATTGCAGCAGCAGTATGCATCAAAGCTCTATGATTTGAAAAAAAAAAAAAAACCATATGATTACATTTTGTGTATGTAAACATGAAAAAAGCAGAGAACGTTGCTGGAAATATTAACCATACGATTTCGTTTTATTTCCATATACATATCACTTGCCTTCGCTCATTGCGTTGCTTGCCAATTCAGATACATCGGGAAAGTTTGAAATTTTCTCAGGGTATAGTGTTTTTGCAATCGTTGTGTTAAAATTCATATAATCGCTGCATCAGTTGTGTTCAGCGTTTTCATCGCTTCACGCCGACATCAAGATCATTAACTGTCCTATGTCTTCATCAATTTCATGAATTTATGTGGATTTGTGGTCTTTTCTATTTACTGTTCGCCGAGAATAGCGAAGCAACGAACACTCACTACATAAAATCTTCCGTAACCGTCTGTGATTTATTTATTTAAAAGAAACTTTCACTTAATTAATTGTTCACTATATCCAGCTCAGAGACTTTTTACATTCTCTAAATACTTTTACAAGGTTGCCATCATACTTAAAATTAACACTATTATTAATCCCTATAGATTTATTGTCATTAAATATGATCTGTACGCCTGTACTTGATTGCGCGTTGTAGCGTTTGTGTTCGCGCTGTAGACACTTCATAGCGTCAAGTAATAAATTCTATAGTTTGTTCTGCAATTCCAACCAAAATAAAATGATTGCATAATTTTCATAATTTGTCTTGGTAAGAACGGTTGTGCGAATAAATTTTCTTTCTCAAAAGGTTTGCGCGCTGGCGTACCATTTTCATAATCACACAGCATTGAACGTCCAGAAATTGAAGCTACATATTTTTTAAATTGAAATTGATTGCCTCGTTTGATGCCATTAGGTAAACTTTTGATTCCGATGGAAGGAAATAAACTAAATGAAAAATTTAAGCAGTGATACCGCTACGACACCGAAAATACTTTCGTTCTTATTACTGATGCAATTAATTTGAAAACTAAAAAGCACAACAATTCATCCGGTCACAATTGTATAATAATTCTACCGATAAATATCTGCAATTTCTGACATACGTTCCTTACTAATTTTAATTCAATAAACATATTCGTATCAGTACAAGTCTAAGTCTTTGTATAAAATTGCAAACATTATATTATATATGGAATCCTTTTTTATACGATCTTTTCTTACACGATTTTGAATTAACATAGCTTACCAATAAGAACAGATACACTTTTTGTTTGCCCGAAGCTTTTGTTCTAGCATAAAATCTCAAAAGAAATTGTTTTTCAATTCCAATATATATACATTTTATTATATCCGCCTGAATAGCGGAAGGCGAGGAATCTCGACAAGTCAATGGTCGTGGGTTCGAATCTCAAGTGCGGTAGAGTTTTTAATAAAAGCGGATAGCCTTAGATGCTAGTGCTTTTAAGATTTTAGTCTTAGAATTTATTTCTCTGACGAAATTAATAATAATAATAATGATAATAATAATACTGCCTTACAGAAACTTATATAACAAAATATAATTAGGAGGGAATAAATCAAGAATTACATAAGCAACGTTAAGAAGCCAAAAAAAAAAAAAAGAAAAAAAAACCACTTACTAATCACTATACAAAAAAAAAAAAAGAAAAAAAAAAGAGAACGAACAGAGACCATTAGTCACGAGCGAAATTCTTCATTTGAATCAAGCCCGGCATTTGCGCCTTATCTACTGATGATAGCGTTTTTGGTCCAGTCTGTAATAAGCGTGCAAGCTTGTTATCATAATGTAGTGACGAATGTTTGCGAAATTGATTTTAATTCCTAATTCAAATTTAAATTTTTATATGCTTGTACTCATGGACTGAATTTTCACTGTACATTAATCTTAATTTTTAATGGAGTATTTCGTATTGTTATGTATTTGGAAAGATTGCTTGAGTTGCGTTGTGCAATTTATGTGCAAAACATCCCATAAAAAATGTAAACAAACGTTTAAAGAGTGCAAAATAGCGAAAACATTGAAACAATCATAATTACGGATTTTCATGCAACATGTTTGTGTGACGCTATATGCCACGAACACATGTACAAGATGGAATAATCTATTGAATACTTATGTGTACTTGTGCGTACGTTTTTATAATATACAATGTCTTTGGGGTTGTTCATGCTGACCATTCGTGATTTACTGCTCAAATTGAAGGAGGTCGCGAGAATGACTCTCGCATTGCACCCATCACCAAGAATCACGCTTCAAAGTCTCAAATCAAACTCGGAATCGTTCCAGACACATTTTTCATTGTATGTGTGTTTATCTATTTGTTAATTGCTAAAGTAAACATACTCTGGTCGCAAAAACTGAAAATCAAACTAAGAAATGTTGCAAAAACATTCAAAGTTGATCCACGTGGACTGATATTCGGTAAAAAGATACGCCCACAGTACATTCTAATTTATTTTGGTATTTTTACTCATTAGATGAAAACTACAACAGATACACGATACAAATTATCAGTTTTTTTCTACAAAATTGACAGAAATCTGTCACGCGCATCTGGCTTTAGAGTTTTTCTTTAGATTATTTTGCGATCCCGCCCGAATATAATTTTCTTATTTGTTAATACTATTGACCTTTCTATACATTCCAAAACAGTGAAAATAATAGGCTTCATTTAGGCTGCTACTTTAAATATATCATTTCCAATATTGATATATTGATATAATTATTGCAAGTTTAAGAAGCAGAAAAAAGAATAAATGTTGAATATGTAGAATTTGTTTTTTTTTTTTTGCTTAAGCCCTAAAGTCATGCTGCATTTATGGAGCAAAAGATTTTAGATTGATGTGAAGTGACGTAATAGATTCGATAGTTTTGCTCAAAAAATGATATATAGAAACAAAGGCCAATTTAATACATTTAGCTTTTCGCATTCTAGTTACCAAACTCCTTTATTTGATACCCATATGGGCGGTATTTTTAAGAAAAAATCTATCCACCATCTCGTGACGTCTACCGCAATGAATTTCGAATTGACACACTTACCTTGTCGCCTTCTACTCTCCAAGCACTTATATTTGATACCCATATCAACGGTATTGTAAAGAAAAAATTAATTAAATAGGTCGTGACGCTCGTAATAACTAATTTAGAGCCAACACACTTACCTTGTCGCCTTCTACTCTTCAAGTCCTTTCATTTGATATCCATATCGTTGGTGTTATTAAGAAAAACTCAATCTACCAGATTGTGGGTGTCCATCATATGTGTTATAGAATTAACGCATTTTTAGGCAGATAATATATATTCATTTGAGCAGTGCACATAGCAGTTTTAAGCATTCTGCCCTGTTTACCTTATGACTATTAATAAGCATAAAACCTGAAAAGCTTGAAAAAAAAAAAAAAAGAAAATTTAATCATATGTATGGGCATGGCCGATTTTACCCATTTTTGCTTACGGATAGTAGAGTTCTTCGTAAAGTAAATGTAAAAAAATGTCAACCTTAATGAGCAAAAAACCGTAAATTTTTATTAAAAAAAAAACCGAATTGCATTCAGTTTACTTTCCATTGTCGGCTTGTGCTCTAATCAATTTGCCTCATTTTCAATATCAATCTGTGTGTAAAAATTTCCAAGGCTTCCAATGCCAAATTTAATTTTTGCGGCCGGGAGAATGTTTACAACAGATATTACACAGACGGATAGACGGACAGACGGATATGTTTAAATCGATTCAGAGTTTGATGCTGATCAAGATTATATATACTATGTGCGATCTCTGAAGCCTTCTTTTCCGCCCTGCAAGCATTTTGAACGAAATGAATATACCGGTCATCCGGTGCCCACCGGTGATGGGTGGGAGAAATTGCTTGACATGCAATAGGCATATGTCGTAACGCTGAAGGTAGATTATTGTCATTCTTACAGGCAGACGGTGAACGTATCTGTCTGATCATATATTGATAACAATATGAGGTCCAAAAAAAAAAAAAAAAAGGAAAAAGAATCTATGAACAGACGTATTTCTGTGAAGAATCGTCGCGTCATTGCTTCAATTGATAGACTTACGTATATGAGTAAATCTCTTTTAGGAATTCATAATATTGAGGATAAAATTGGTTTCTCATTTCGTTTAATTAACTCACACGCATGTACAGTAAGTAACATTTGATATCGTTTTTTACATTTGTTCGTACTATGTCCCCTTGATAAACTACTCGCGTTTGATTCGCGTTTTTAATTAAATTGAATTTATACTACCTTGCTGGTATATAAATATGTAAGCAACTGATACATTGATTGCCTCGGATAATGAATGAATGAATGGTTGGTTATTCTATCAAAAAAAAAATACGTGAAATTATTTATTATTGCTTCGAAAATTGCTTTCACGATGTAATTTTTCAGAAAAAAATAATTTTTTTTTTTTCAAAATTTTCTTATCTTATGCAGTTTAATTAAGTAGGTTAAATATCTAAGCGGTCGAATAAGTGCAGTTAATATATGTAATATAGTATACGCAAGCACATGCATAAGTATTTACGAGTCAGAAAGTTAGGCGTGTATACAAAATGTGATGTGATGTGAGCGTATGAGTGTAATTTTTGCAATTCTATTGTTTTTGTGCGACTTCATACGCGATGCAGATTCACTACAGCTTTTGTTATAACTAACTAAGCAATATAGCTGTAGCTCGCTCGTGTTCTCTTATTATTCTGCTTCGATTATCTATCTGAGGCTGCGGTTAGTGTTATTTTTTATTATTTTTTTTTTTATTTTTTTTTTTTGTAGAAAGAAGACGTATTAGATATAATAATTATAAGTGCACTCAAATACATGCGCCTACTTTATGAAGTGTTATTTATCAATAGGTTTTGGGGTCAGCCATGGATTGTGCGTCTGAACAAGATGGTATGCACGTTAATCGACGATTGATGTAAATGAAGAAAATTAATTATTGTCGAAAACGACGGGAAATTTGACTTTTGAGCTAAACATAAATAACAACATTTCCTTACATTGATTTAATTGATTATGTACATATCTATGTATGCATGCGTTGAACGTAGTTTAAGAATAAATAATCATTGAGAGAAAAATTTGAGAATTTGAGAGTTTGTGGCAAACGGGGCAAACGACACAAGGCAAGGTAACATTTTTCATAAACTGAAAGCGGTAAAACGAGCAAAATGGCTGAATATCACGAGTACACGGATCAGTACAGGGTTCCGATGATAGCAAAACTGCTTCATGCGCTGCCTCATTACAATATAACATTTCATAAGATAAACAGTACTTTTCGGCCGAACGATGAAATTTACTTAGAGGTAAACCATACAATCTCAGGAATATGATAAATAACTTCACTTACCGCGCACTCTGGATAGGAGCACTTATTAATCAATTATCGTTTATATTTTGTTTTAAGAGCTTGGGCATTCTTGGGTCGGTGCCCGCAGCTTTACTCATTATATCATTATTGGGTCTATTGCTTTATTTGATGACGCGGTGCTGCGATCGTAAGCCTAGGCCAGCACATTCCATAACCAGCCTGAAAGTGGCATTGTCCATTGTTACAGTGATGTGTTGCGCTGCTATTGGTTTAGGTAAAAATTACTTTCAATACACATTAATGCAATATTAATGCAATTTAAATCACTTTTTATAATAAATATATGCCTTCTTTATTGTAGGTCTATACGGCAACGATGACTTACATAATGGCTTATTAGAGGTGTTGACTGCTGGGCGCAAAGTTGATACACTAGTGACTACAATACGCAATCAAACTCATATTTTGGAAAACACTTTGAAAAACCGTATCAGGCCACAGCTGGTAGAATTGGCTGATATATTTGATCAGCCCGTGTCAAATCAATCTGCTCTTTCCATTTTGTTTGTGTCGCTGAATATAGTGCAAGGTAATGTGACGTTGGCAACGAACGCTGCCAGTGATATACGCAGACCATTAACAAGTGTAACAATGACGAAATTTTTATCGGTAAGTCAAGCTTCTCCGTCAAAATTCACGACGGAATTTTTTCAATATATAATACTAATCACTACTTTGGACAGGATGGGGACAAAATGGAATTAATACGTTGGCCTGGCACCGTGGCTACGCTTGCCTTATTATTGGTTCTTTGCGCTGTTTTATTAGTGGGCGTCGCCAGGCATTCACGTTGCGCATTGATTTTATTTAGCGTATGCGGTTTGTTGGCTGTGACCGGTTCTTGGCTAATGTCGGGCTTATATCTTTCATCATCTGTGGCAGTGGGCGATCTCTGCATAAATCCAGCCGACTTTTTAGTGTCAATGTCTCCACGCGACTTACCAACAAACGTTTTATTGCATTACACTCAATGTGAACCGGGGCATACCAACCCATTTACTCAGCGCTTACGTGAATCGCAAAATTCGCTTAACAATGCTCGAAGCGCAATGGCCACTGTCATGAAAATATCATTGGTACTTTTTAAGTCGTCGGGTCTGCAACCAAAATTAGGAGCAGTCAATGCCGATTTAAATAGCAGTGAACGATTGCTTACCCAACTAACAGCTTTGGTCGATTGTAAAGCTGTACACCATAGCTTTTTAGCCGCTGCCCGAGGCTTGTGCGAAGGAGGTTTATTGGGCTTAGTCTTGATGCTTGTCGCCAGTTTTGTAGCAGCCATTTTGCTCACCATAATGGTATGGGTAGATTCGCATACTTGGATTTATATACGCAAACGCAATGATTATGCTCAAGTCGATGAACCATCGTACATTTCACATCCAGCTCCACAAAACCATCAACAAGTGATGAATGCTTCCCGAACTTTGCCTCGCAATCATAACGGGTGAGGACACCTAATGAAGTCGATTTTTATTTAAACTCTTTTTTGGTATTTTTTTTTTTTTTCTTTTTTTTTCGTCTAATTTTCCAGGCATTTTAGTCCACCCGTAATTAGTGGTTCACACACTTTGCAGCACCCGTCGAAGCGACAACAGCATGAGATGATGTCTCATGCACATATGCAGCAAAATATAAGGGCTATGGGCACGCATACGCTTGGTCGTTTGCCGTCGCACAATCATAGCCCCACCCAACTAACAGGTAAGAAGTTTTTGCGATTAATTTTTGCAAACTAACATCCCGTTGATGTATGCTGCGGTATCGTTTAAAAAAGATTCTCTGCTTCTAATACACGGCTTAATTTAATTTTAGGCCCAAATAACGGTAAATATGCAACATTAAGCAAACAATGCAAAACTTTGGAAGCAAATGATTTTTACTGAAAATCGTCATCAGCCTGTAGCGATACCAATAGCCGGAGTCAGCATGGAGCAGCTCATCAGCAGCAACAACATCCAATTCAATCATCTCAACAGCCAATTTACTGCCACTATCCTCATCCACATACACACGCTGCCGGAGTACAACATCAGCATGCGATTTATCATCAACAGCAACAGTCGCAGTATGGCAACTATTCAACTGCAGTGCATCCTCAACAGCAGCAACATTTATCTGTTGCGGGACAACAAAATTCCATTTATCAACAGATAGCACCGCCGCACACAGCTCAATTAACACAAAACGGAAGTCATCTCACTAATCAACATTCCATATATCAACCTTTGGTAGCCGTTAGTCAAGGCTCCATTTATGTTTCAAATTTGGCCACTATGCGGCGGCAAAATACTCAGCAAAACGCTGCCAATTCTCAAATTTCGACACAACTTCAGCATCCGCAACAGCAATCAAGTGGAATACAACCAACATCCCATCATCAACATCAAATAAAATCGCCACAAGAGAGTCATAATATTTCAAGGTCAGACAGCATTGATAACGCGTTATATGATCGAGAAAAAGGCGTTTACAAATGTTCCACTCTACGGCAGGGAGGAAAATTTGATCCCAAATATAAGCCATCGATTTTAAACTGCCCCTTACCGGAAATTCCGAAGGACGCCGAACCTCCAACTGTTGAATCCATATATCATCAACAACAGAAAAATTATTCCAAGTGAGTGTAACAACTTTAAACTTTTCACAAGTCTATTTGCGAACAGTCTAGAATAATTTAATTATATACGAAATCGCCGACTTTTATAGCAAAATCGTCTATTGCGATCTGAACAACGTCTCGCAATGCTAAATTAAGCAAATCAATATACTTTTCCATAGGAACCTTTTTTTTTTTTATATCCGTCACTGCAGGATAGGGTGGGTTATTCATTTTGCCATAATGTTTGCAAGCTTCAGAGACTATATAAAGTGTAGCTATTTTTGATCGGCGGGAAACTCTGAATCGGAATAGTCGAGTCTGTCCGCCTGTCCCTCTGCCTTTCTCTTTGCCTGTGTGGTGTATGCTGCTGACACACAAAAAGGTGCTTCGCATATCCACTTCAAATTTGGCAGAAAGAATCTCTTCTGCTTGTAGCTTAGTATTTAATATGGGTCAAATTGGTAAAAGTACACGCCCACAAACAAAAATTTATAGGTTTTTTAGTTATTATTGATAAATTATAAAAAGATTGAAAATTGTAATTTTGTTCTGATTTGCTTTATTAAGGACTCGACCTATTCATGCTGAAAAATGTGGGAAATTCGGTCCAGCTAACAAAAAAAAAAATGGTCGAACTTTAATTTTTTGAAATTTTCTACTCGTTACGCATAAAGTAAACATGACGGAATGTTGATAATTATTCTGTATATATATTACCTATCTAAAAATGTGTTAATTCCAAAATATATAGATATGGCGGACCACGCAACGTGACGGATTCGTTTTTTCTTAGTAATACAATCGATTGGGTATCGAGTAAAACGAGTAGTGGAGGCTAGAATGCGACGATGGACGCAATAGATAATTAGAGGTGAATTTAGTTAAGGTTCATCAACACTTTCATAAAAAGTGTTTAGATATGTAACTAACAAGTAGGATAAAAAATTTGCTTATTCTAAATAAAACCAGTTACTAACCCCATTTAAGGCTGTAAGGCTCCGTAATAATAATTCACTAATAACAACTGGCAATAGCAGTTGAATTCTACCGTAAATCGGTAAGTAAATGGTGATGGAGATAGAGGATTCGACCCTAGCCGAATATAACTTTTTTACTTATTTTATTTAATTTACTTATTTTATTTATATTATTTATTTTTTTTAAATCCTCAGTTTTGATTGATAATTTATATAACCTAAGCGGTTATATGCAATCAAACGTAAATATAAGGTTTATTTCGATGTGAATTGATTATGATGAAGCGTTTCCTCGTATTTTCCAATGAGAAGGGACACTAAATGGTCAGCAGTATAATTAACGATTTAAGGCAAGCAACTAACGAAAAGTAGCAAGCTTCATCTAATTAAAAAAGAATTCAATTCAAAGAGAGAGACAGAGAGAGAGAGAGAGAGAGAGAGAAAAAAAAAGAAAAGAACTTTACTACTTTCAAGTAATAATGACTTACAAACCTGTGCACTAAATAACGGAAAATTTGAGATTTGAGATTAATTGGATTGGTTCGATGGTACCTGTAGAAGGGTACGGTCATTTATGGCGTCTGCGATTTCTTTACATGCATAATTACTCCACTGCAGTGTGAGTTTTCGAGCAGTAGTGCGTACTGCGAGGTATACTTCACGCTCCCCAAAGACGGCGTTTCATTCAATCTGATATCACAATAAGCTGGCATCCAGTCCAAATGACAAGCCCATCAGTCATTTAATATTTCATGGTTATCAGTATTTGCTTTTTCTGTTCAAAGCAAGCCAGCTTTGTCTTGGCAGTGAAGATATAAAATTTCTTTGATCGTTTGTAATGTAAATCGCAAGTAACTCAATAAAGTTTGAAGAGATTTCGTCATCTTCTCTTGCAAGATCTGTTAAGCACTATCGCGAAATTATCAACATTATGGGCAACCAATTCAGTTCATTACATGTCGCATTAGTTATTGTAATAAACGGTAGTCCCTCTTACCACAAGGGTCCTGTATATGTTTTGCTGATACTTTATTTCCCAGTAGATATTGATAGCGAAACGCTTAGCATAACTTCGTACATGTTATGAGTAAAATTCCAAAATCCCAATGTAATTAAAAGATGAACTTTACCACGTAGGGTGGAGATGATTTTGGGAAAGCAAAGGAAAGCAAGACCTTGTTTGTATTCCTTTATTCTTGCAAGAATTAAAGGCGTCGTAAAGCGCCGTAAAGCGTAGAAGACAGACAGTTCAACCGAAATGATTCTCAGATTGTGAATTGAAAGTGAAGGTACATTGCTTTACCTCCATATGTTTATATATCGGAATTGTTCGCTTAACGATTGGAGCGCAGCGTAAACGATAGTGAGTTCAAATGAAACGCTTCGACGGAATCAATGAAATCAGTTTCAAGGTGAAGGCGTTAGGTACATTATATGCATTAATCCAGTATGCCTAGTATATTAGCAAGCGTTAGCGTGTGTCCGGTATTCAGTTTCCCTCGGACTAGGAAAAAACGAAGTTTGGGCATACTTGTATAGGAGCGAATATAGTTATTATGATAATTCGCTTAGACTAATTACTAGCTACAGCTTAAAGAAAACCTTATAGTGAGCAGGGGCCAGCATTGAATACCCCATACACCAGTTTGCTTAATAGAACTATTCATATGATACATTCAGATGATGCCTATATTCGCATACCAACGTTCATTAAGGTATTTCAAAAAGTTACGACCCGCAGGTTGAACATAAGAATACAAAATGAACAGACGACCCAGTCAAGCTTAGTTGGACGCAAAAAGTGATTCTGAATCTATCGGTATAATAGGAGGTTGGTTGATCTATCTCAAGACCTTTTAGGTGGTGGTGGCATATAATCGCTTCAACTTAATATACCCTGGTAATACAGGCAGTGTATGGCATAATAAGAATTATTTATTGATAACTAAATGTCGTAATAATAAAGAGCTATCTCTATAGTTCCTCCTATAACTGAGTTCTTGTAAGACGCAACAGTGTTTATTGTACTTTCCACTTGCTTTTTTACGTCTCGAATTAAACTGTTATTTTTCCATTTAGTTAGTATCTTTTTTTACACGAATTTTTTGAAAAGGTATCGATTATGTGCAATGAGTATTAGGATGTATTGAAAAGTCTTGTATAATACGGCTTTTATTCGACATGAAACAGATTTCGATACAACACGATCAACATTGTCTTGGCTCATATTATATCCAAGTTATATCTTAGTTTAAATAATAAAACAAAAGAAAAATTTTCGATACAGGGGCGGTACGAATTCACTATGTTATACGCGAGACGGTTGTATTGTATATAACATATGATGTAAATATATTATGTAATAGCGGGTCTATTTTATTCACAAATGTCTCATATATTTAATAAAAAAAAAAAAAAAATGCGTTAATAGATTTATTTTGCTAACATTTAATTTAATCTTTCTTGCTTGTTTGACTAAACTTTATAAACTCTTGTAAATGAATTATTACGTTTAGAACCTTGCAGCGGCCTACAATGAAACTGACACCACAGATGAAAGCAATACCCCCACCTAAAGTTCTAACACCCACCTCACCTCCTTTAGTCGAGAACTCGGTTAATGCTGTAGCAGTTGTGTGTAAAAATCAAAATCAATCAAACTCGTTACATATTAGAGGTAATATGGCCGCGAATATTGCTGCTGCTAATGATGCAAAACAATCGCCAAGTAACGAGTCTGGATTGCCTCCCCCACCGCCGATCGAGCCAGAAATCGGATCGCCGTCATCAAAAATGATACCGACCAGCAATATTAATAACAATAATAACAACAACAATAATAATAACAATAATAATAATAATAATAACAATAATGGTAGCTCTGACAGCATGCCTAACGGTCACACTGCCAATCATACAATAAATGATGATGATGAATTGCCACCACCACCTCCGCCGCCGGCCATCAATGATGAATCCAATTATGCAGTAACTGAACTTTAAAAATAAGGTAAATTCTTCCATAAAATCAATATAATTGAATGGCAATTCATTTAATGCAATTAAGTTTAGAAGTTTAGATTAATACGCTAATTAGATTACACGACCGATCTTATTGAAATTCATAGATGACTTTATTATTAGGCGACAGGATGAGAGAAATTTCGCGCTACAGGACTGTCTATTACTACTATACATACAATGATGAATACACAAGATATGGAAGAATGAATACAATAATGAAAAAGGAAATGCTATTTCCGATTAAAGAGTATCCGATCTGGACAAGATGAAAACAACGAATTTTAACATCCAGTATCACCTATACGCATACTCATACGCACATACAAGCATATTTCATTCTGTTAAATGTTAAGAGATATTCTAAGGACAGGAATGAGTGAAAAGAAAGAACTTTTAAGTAAAGTAAATTATTTGCCTCTAAATTCCTAAGATTTAAGAAGCAAACAGCAGAGTGAAAAAGAGAATCTCAAATTTAAATACCATTTAACTTAAAGTAGAAAATGGTTAAACGAACTAATACTTAATGCTATTCAGATCGTAAAAAAACCGAGGGGGGGGGGGGGGGGGGGGGGGGG